CCCCAAAACCCCAAAACCCCAAAACCCCAAAACCCCAAAACCCCGGCGATAAATAATATAATTGAACGTAGAGATTATTTTACTGTGCTGATCTCCTTCTGCTGACAAAGTTACTCCCAGAGCTTAATAAATCAAGCGGTCTTGGACAGATCTTTGCTACTACTTTAGAGCCAAGTCTTTTCTTTATCTTGGTGAAGAATTTTATCTTCCTCTTTAACTTTTTGTCTGGAGCCTTCTCAGACTTCTTCATTTTCTCCAAACAGTAGTCGAGCATTGAGTTTCATCTAGAATCAAAGGGTTTTTACTTGAGCAAAGGTATGAATAGTGGATAAATTATTGTCCTTACCCAAAGATTTGAGCTTTCTGAGCATTTACAATAGTATCTTTAAGCTCAACTTTCGACCTAATGCCTGAAATCTCTGGAAAATCTTGTCTCACATCTTGGCTAATATTAAACCGTCTACGGTTTCTCTTGATCTTTAATTTGCGATATTTCCTATAAATTACCCAAAAATCTCACCGTGGTTGGGCCAATCTCGTAAGTCTATTCTTATCGAAAAATCTGGTCTTGGATTTGTTATGCAAAAGCTCATCTTCATTTTCCTTAAAAAACTGTTCTTTAATCTTATTGACTCGTAAATCTACTCATTAATAAGAAAGTTACTCTGGTCGTACTTGACTTTCCAGCGCTGGTAGGAACTCCTTGGCACTCTTTCCTTTCTATTGAGTCAATATGTTTTAAAGTTGCCTCTTATCACCTATTTTCTCTGAACAAATTGAAGATTCTGACAAGGCTTCGTTTATAGGCGACTTTTCAACACTGTCAATAAACCTGAAGGAACCTCCTGGGCCTTGTACACTCTCAAGAGGGAAGGCGTTCTTAATTAATCCTTCTATGGGAAAATTTAGAATCATTTTTAACAAATTTGTTCCTGAATTTCAGAGCTTGAAATATTTCATAAGTTTTTCAAGATTTTAATGGGGTTTTAATAAGGCATAAAGTGAGTTTGGGCGGTAAGTGATATATTACCATTGTCTTTTGAAATTGGCATCATAGAGTTTAATGCTGCTGGCTTGATACTGGGGATAGGCACAGCAGCCTTTTGGTCTTCTATAGTATTATATCAAATTGGATTACCGAATAAGACATTCTTTGTGGAACTGTGTCTATTAATCTGGTTTAAATAGACTTTATCAAGAATTCCAGTTGTAGACCTCTGTCGAACTGGAGTATAACCTTGATAAAGCTCGTTGATATATGATCCTGACCAGATTTTATTTCCTTACATTGCCTCTTTTGAAGAAATTACTGCTGCCTCTAGCCTTCATCGTTGGGAGGTACTTTCTTTGCTTTCGATTTTCTTTTGATAAAGTGCTTCTATCGTTCACGAGCATGGGTTCCATAGAAGATTTCCGTTTGCGAGGTTTCCTTCTTCTGGGCTTAGCTTTAAAAGATTCTTAAAAGGAATCAATAAAAAAGATGTTTGTTGTAAATAAGTCGAATTTTTAACCAAATGTCTAATATAAAATCATTCTATGACTATAACTGAACACATCTCTACAAAACCCTCTTCATTCCTTCTTATTAGGCTTCCTTACCGTCTTCATTAAAAGTCTCATTATAACTCTAAACCAAAAGTCAAGGCCACTCTTAAATTTCTTACCTTGATCTTATCCACGAGCGCATTCAGCTTGTAATAAAAATCACTTTTTGTGCTATAAATTACTGATTAGGGGGTTCTCAGGTGATTCTATTTCTTTAATAGTTTTCATAAAATTCTTATTTCGAGCCTTAGAAGTAGGTTTATGGGCTTTTAGAGTAATTTTGAAGGGTTTTAAATGAGAATTTGACCCTGGGTGGGTGAGGGAGGAGGGGATTTTGGGGAAAGTTAGAGTACCTTTTGATGGACTGTGCGTGGAGCAGGTTTTGGAGTCTTGATCTGTCTGGGGAAATTGGACGCATTTTTTATAAGAAAATGTTTTGCAGTTCAATAAATTTAATAACGTTTGGGGTTTTGGGGTTTTGGGGTTTTGGGGTTTTGGGG